ACTTTGGCCCTCAGCCAAATTATGGCCACAGGGCTACTATTAATTCAAGCAGTCCAAATCAGAGGTCAAAAGTCCAAATCAAATTCCAAGAGTATTCTTCACCAAATTATGCTGCATCCATGATCCTCTTGCCATTGTTTGATGAGGTGTTTTCATATCATATCATAGAATCCCTACAGTGTGGAAACAGGCCCTTTGGCCCAACAAGTCCACACTGACCCTAGGAGCATCCTACCCTGACCCATCCCTCTATAACCCACTTAAGCTACACATCCCTGAACACTTCAGGCAATTTAGCATGGCCAATTCACCTCACCTACTCATCTTTGGACTATGGGAGGAAACCCACACAGACACGGGGAGAATGTGCAAACTCCACACAAACAGAGATGCCAAATTGCCTATCATTTGCACACTTTCATATCACAGTACCTTTACAATGAACAAATCTTATCATCCGGAGTTAAAGATTCACTCATGTGTAAAAGTGTTTTTGGAAGTTCATTTCTGGCCAGTAAATGAAACTCCAAACATGGTCATTTCTGAAATTAAAATTTACCCAAAGTCCAAACACAATTCAGAGCCAATTCTACAAAATAAAATTTTACCGAGCTTTACAAACTAACCTTTTAAATCAACATTTTGTTATAGACTTCTGCTTCACACAACCACTGAGAGTTTCTTAAACGGAATCACATTAACCATCCATGTCCCATACTTACACAGGCACACCACACATTCCCAAAATGCAAACTAACTTCAAAACATCCCCAGATCGTGTGCTCTAAGGAACAAAAACACATAAATTGCACAAGACAACAATTAGCAATCAACAAAGGTGCATTCAAATCAGACCACAAAGAGTTAACAGCTGGACAAGATTCAGTGAACTAGCACAGAGAGCTGTCTTGCTCTCTCTCTTTGTTACTTATGAACACTATAGATACCTCAGCATGTTTTTGCACTCTTTATTAAACACATTCTGCAAAAGGGACCGGTCTGCACCCCAGCCCATTTTTCCATGGTCCTTCCCTGCCGCTTCCCAGATTCTCTCAACTGTGGCTATGACTGTTTTAACACGGTGTAGAGTTGGATGAACACAGCAGGCCAAGCAGCATCAGAGGAGCAGGAAAGCTGACGTTTCTGGCCTAGACCCTTCTTCAGAAATGGGTTTGGGGAAAGGGGTTCTGAAATAAGTAGGGAGAGAGGGGGAGGCAGATAGAAGCTGGATAAAGGAGAAGATAGGTCAAAGAGGTGGGGATGGAGCCAGTAAAGGTGAGTGTAGGTGGGGAGTTAGGGAGGGGACAGGTCAGTCCAGGGAGGACGGACAGGTCAAGGGGGCGGGATGAGGCGAGTAGGTAGGAGATGGGGGTGGGGCTTGGGGTGGGAGGAGTGGATAGGTGGGAGGAAGGACAGGTTAGGGAGGCGGGGACAAGCTCGGCTGGTTTTGGGATGCGGTTGGGGGAGGGGAGATTTTGAAGCTTGTGAAGTCCACATTGATACCATTGGGCTGCAGGGTCCCCCAGCAAAATATGAGGTGCTGTTCCAGCAACCTTCGGGTGGCATCGTTGTGGCACTGCAGGAGGCCCAGGATGGACATGTCATCTAAGGAATGGGAGGGGGAGTTGAAATGGTTCACGACTGGGAGGTGCAGTTGTTTACTGTGAACCGAGCGTAGGTGTTCCGCAAAGTGGTCCCCAAGCCTCCGCTTGGTTTCCCCGATGTAGAGGAGGCCACAACGGGAACAGCGGATTCAGTATACCACATTATCAGATGTGCAGGTGAACATCTGCTTGATGTGGAAGGTCTTCTTGGGGCCTGGGATGGAGGTGAGGGGGGAGGTGTTGGGGCAGGTGTAGCACTTCCTGCGGTTGAAGGGAAAAGTGCTGGGTGTGGTGGGGCTGGAGGGGAGTGTGGAGCGGACAAGGGAGTCATGGAGAGAGTGGTCCCTCCGGAAAGCAGGTAAGGGTGGGGAGGGAAAAACGTCTTTGGTGGTGGGGTCGTATTGCAGATGGCGGAAGTGTCGGAGAATGAGGTTGGTGGGGTGGTACGTGAGGACGAGGGGTATTCTGTTTTGGTTGTTGTTGCGGGGAGGGGGTGTGAGGGATGAGTTGCGGGAAATGCGTTCTCAATCACTGTGGGGGGGAAGTTGCGGTTCTTGAGAAAAGAGGACATCTGAGATGTTCAGGAGTGGAATGCCTAATCCTGGGAGCAGATGCGGCGGAGGCGAAGGAATTGCGAATAGGGGATTGCATTTTTGCAGGAAGGTGGGTGGGAGGAGGTGTATTCTAGGTAGCTGTGGGAGTTGGTGGGCTTGAAATGGATATCGGTTTCCAGGTGGTTGCCAGAGATGGAAACAGAGAGGTCCAGGATGGAGACAGAGGTATCAGAGATGGTCCAGGTGAACTTAAGGTTGGGGTGGAAGGTGTTGGTGAAGTGGATGAACTGTTCGAGCTCCTCGTGGGAGCACGAGGCAGCACCGATACAGTCATCGATGTAACGGAGGGAGAGGTGGGGTTTAGGGCCAGTGTAGCTACAGAGAAGGGATTGTTCCATGTAACCTACAAAGAGGCAGGCATAGTTTGGGCCCATGTGGGTACCCATGGCCATCCCCTTTATCTGTAGGAAGTGGGAGGAATTGAAAGAGAAGTTGTTAAGGGTGAGGTTGTTAAGGGTTAAGCCACAATGATGCCACCCGAAGGCTGCAGGAACAGCACCTCATATTTTGCTTCGGAACCCTGCAGCCCAATGGTATCAATGTGGACTTCACAAGCTTCAAAATCTCCCCTCCCCCAACCGCATCCCAAAATCAGCCGAGCTTGTCCCCACCTCCCTAACCTGTCCTTCCTCCCACCTTTCTGCTCCTCCCACCTCAAGCCCCACCCCCATCTCCTACCTACTAGCCTCATCCTACCCCCTTGACCTGTCCGTCCTCCCTGGACTGACCTATCCCCTCCCTAACTCCCCACCTACACTCACCTTTACTGGCTCCATCCCCGTCTCTTTGACCTGTCTGTCTCCTCTCCACCTATCTTCTCCTCTATCCATCTCCCCCTCTCTCCCTATTTATTTCAGAACCCCCTTCTCCACCCCCATTTCTGAAGAAGGGTCTAGGCCCGAAACGTCAGCTTTCCTGTTCCTCTGATGCTGCTTGGCCTGCTGTGTTCATCCAGCTCTACACCTTGTTATCTCAGATTCTCCAGCATCTGCAGTTCCTACTATCTCTACTACTGCTTTATTATTTCCCAGACCCTTGTTCTTTTCCTACCTCACACTTCTCTTGTGCTCGAGATTTCTGGTCTTTTTTGTGTTTCGCTTTTTTCCCTTCTCCTCGTTCACTTCTTTTTTCCCTTATTTTGTTGTTTTTTAACTACATTTTCCCCTCTTATTTTGCCATTTTTTCTCTTATTTCACTTCTTTTATGTTCTTATTTCACCTCTTTTTCCTCTTAATTTTGTGCATGATAGCACTGAGGCCTGCAACCTCCTCATCCTTGTTTCATGTTCTCACTTTATTTCACACACTCTCGTGCTGTTTCATGTTCTAACGTTATTTCATCTGCTGTCGTGGTGGGTGCCCACTTCCACTATGCGTGATTCTGACATCTCATATTTGCTCCAATCTAAAAGTTTGTTTCATTCCCTGGCTTACAGAAGCCCGTCACCAATTGCCACATTAGCTAAAAAAGGTGGTAAACAAACATGTTCATCCAGACCGTGGCCAGGTGTACTAGCTTCAGGCAGAGCACCCTGATTGCATTGCCAATCTGTAGGAGCATTTTTTTGGATCTGGAACAAAGACTCAGGAGGCAGGCAGGATTCAGGTAAGTGGAAGATGTTCATTCAAGCAGAAACTGGTTTATGCAGGGAGGGGGCCAAAGGATCTTCCCTGAATCTGGCTTTGGAAGATAGATCAATGACACACCCTCTGCTTTTAGAAAGAAATACAGCACTTTTATACATACTGTGTTACAATAATCAAACACAACATATTCACTGTCTTTTCCCCTAATCCAAACAACCAATCCTGTGGGACACCTAATCAGTGATGTGCACTTCCATGGGGACAGCCCCAGGTTCATATGACCTTATGGTATTAGCTAGACATTGTAATCTCTAGGCCTTGGGATCTTCCCATGCATGCTATTCATTCGCATTCCAAACGTTTAATGGCTATACTCCTTCGGATTTTTCTCAGGCTTGTTTATCTGTAAGGACAGCTCAAATTATATTACCCATTGCATCTTAATGCTTTCTTTTATCACATTTAGTCACTCCTTTTATTTCCCCCCGTCCCAATTACATAATGTAAAACAAATTCAGTTAGTTTTAACTAATTGCTATAAGGTTGACCTCTGTTATAAAGTTAATTATAAGTGTAACGTTATGCAACTACTTCATTTAGCATTTAGTAATTTATGGGTTATGATCAATCTATCTTGTTCAGGGCATAAGAGAAAGTGTCTTCTAAGGCTAGTTCATCTTTATATCTAAGAGTAAATGTTTTTTGTTAAGGCTTGTATTATATCCTGGTTATGTATTCAAACCAACTTCTATTTTTAGCTAGAAGCTATTTAATATTACTGGTAGCTTCAAAGAGGCAACTATTCACTGCGAAATAAATTTAGCTGTTATCCTTGCAGCTGCTTGAGGACCAAATCTTGCACCTGACATTTTTCATTTACTGGGACAATCAACCTTTCATTAACAAAGCTGGAATTGGTCAGTTATCTGTCCTAAGGCATCCTTTTTTGAGAACTGTCTCAGATGGGAACACACAGTGTTCTTTTACTGACCTTCTAGCAGTTCTGTCCAAAGGTACCATTGTATTTCACTGTGTGAGTAGGCTGCTTAGTGTTGCTTAGCTTGTGTCTGCCACCTTGTAAGCAGTAAGGGCCGCTTAGTGTGTTCAGGTCCAAGTCACCTTACATGGCCAGGTACAGATCACCCCTACACGTTCAAAATGAACTGTCAAAAATGTTAAGATTTAGGCAGACTGTGTTGAACACAAAACTGATTTATTTGACTATATTGCCAAATATTAGCGTTTGTGACTGAGCTAAACATCACCATAAATTGACCCTCATGAAGATTCCTCCATTCCAGTTGTGGTAACAGCAAAATCAAGCCCCTGTTGCAGTCACTGTTGAGGTAATTGGTGGCAAAGCAGGTGAGCTGACTGAGTGAATCTCTTCTCATACACTGAGCAGGTAAATGGTCTCTCCCCATTGTGATCTCGCTGGTGTACAGTGAGGTCAGATGATCGTCTGAACCCTGTCCCACACTGAGAGCACTTGAACAGTCTCTTGACAGTGTGAATACATTGATGATGCATCAGATCTCCAGAACTCTTAAAGCAGTCCCCAAAAACCGAACATTTGAATGGTCTCTCATTCGTGTGAACATGTTGATGGGACAATAGACCCTCTGAACTTTTATAGCACCGATCACAGGCTGCTATTTGAAATGTCTCTCCTCACTGTGTCCTTGCTGGTGTACCATGAGCTGGCAGGACTGAGTGCATCCCTTCACACACATTGAGCAGGCGAACAGCCTCTCCACAGTGTGAGCTTGCTGATACGTTATGAGGTAAAATGACCAAGACAGTTCCTTCCCATATTCAGTACAAGTGAATGGCCTCTCTCCAGCGTGAATTCACTAGTGTCCTTGGAGGTCAGATGACCATCTGAACCCAGTCCCACAGTGAAATACCTGAATAGTCTCTCCTCAGAGTAAGCATGCTGATAGGACATCAGCTCAGTGAACTTTATATGGCCTTTCCTCAGTGTGAGCCCACTGGTGTTTCAGCAGGCTGGATGTCCGAGTAAGTCCTTTTCCACACTCGGTGCAAGTGAATGGCCTCTCCCCAGTGTGAATTCTCTGATGTGCATGGAGATCATATGGATGGCTGAACCCAGTCCCATAGCGAGAGCACTTGAACTGTCTCTCTTCATTATGAACACTTCAGTGATGTAATAGTTCCCCAGAAATTTAAAAACCCTTCCCACAAACTGAGCATTTAAAGGGTCTCTCATCAGTGTGAACAAGTAGATGGGGCATCAGTTTGCTGGAAAGTTTGTAGCCATTCCCACAATCTTGGCATTTGAAAGGATCAGTGTGAACTTGCTGGTGCCTCAGCAACATGGATGATTGAGTGAATCCCTTCCCACATGTGGAGCAGATAAATAACCATTTCTCAGTGTTAGCATGTTGGTGAATTTCGTTAATTTCCAGATCAGAAATGTAACTAAATGGCCCCTCGCAGTCCCCATTTTTCCACAGTTTCTCTCCAGCATGATTGCACTTTTGTTTTATTAGGCCTGATGACTGTCTGGACCCTTACTCACACACACAACACACATACAGTTTCTCTCCATTACAAACGGTGCTTTTTCCTTCTATATTAAAAATGAAGATGTTCAGGTTGTGATAAATTGGGAGATTCCATCAGATCCTGTTCTAAAGAAGAGTCATAACGAACTTGAAATTTTAACACTGTTTTGCTTTCTCTTCAGATACAACCAGACCTGCTCAGTTTCTTCAGATGTTCCATTTTTATTTCAGTTTTCCAAATCCACCATATTTTTGCATTTATCCTCAATGGATGTTTGCATTGGTTTCCAACTTCGAATCTTCTCTTTTTGTGAAATGGATTTAAAACAGTAAAAAAGGGATTAGGAGAGAAACCACAAAAACAAAGGCAGACTGTGTGAAAGAATGACTCTGAAAATACATTTATTCTTTTGTTAGGCTGAAACTTAACTAATCTCAGGCACTCCCAGCCAGTCTTCTACATCCCAGTTCCTCATAACCTTGAGGCTTTCTAACATTCTACTGTCCATGCATTCACACCAAATCTTAATCAGCCTCCACTCCTACAGTGATTGTAAGGTGGTCAGCTAGCTGAACCTCATAGAATGATTTCCCTGATTGGAGCTGTTAATCTGGTGCTCTTAGGGAACCCTGGCTGACATAAAAAGGTTGAGTGTCCGAGATACTGACACTCTGGTGTGTGATTCTGTGTGAAGCAGTACTATAGTCAAGGACTGTTCATATGTCAATGAAGGTTCGCTTGGTAACAGGATAACAGCCTCTGCAGAGGCCATGCTCACTGACCTATAGTTACGATTCAAATTATTGTTTCCAGAAGATTCCCCATCATTGAAGTAAAACTGTCTGGCCTGTTGTTGCTGGGCTTCTCGTCACAAGCTTTTTTGAACGATGTGTAATGTTTGCATTCTCCAGCTTCTGGCACCACTGTCAGATCTAAAGACTCTTAAAATTACTCAGCAATGCCTCTACAACTTCCACTCTCACTTCCCTCAGTATCCTTTAATGTATCTCACCCACACTTGGTGCCTTATCCATATTAAGTTCAGACAACCCATGTAACACCACCTTCTTATCAATTTTAAACTCTTCAAGTGCCTGAACTACCTATTCTTTTACTATGATCTGAGCAGAATCTTATTCTTTGGGGATAACGAATCCAAATGATTTATTTAAAACATTAGCTATGACTGCTTGCATTGCAATTTTTGGCCCAAATGAGCCCTATTCAATATTTGTGTTCCATTCACAATTTCAAAGCCTAAACAAGACTTTTAGGATTTCCCACCCTGTTGACTTCCAGTTGCATTGCACAATCCTTTTTAAACTTATTTTATTTGCTTTTTCATCTTCCCTCTGAACCTTCTATATTCAGCGTGGTCCTAAATTTCATTTTCCACCTAACATCTGCAATATGCACAATTTTTCTCTTGACCTTAACTTTGTAAGACCAAACAAGCAGAAGTAGACCATTCAGCTCTTCAAGTCTGCTCCACCATTCAATGAGATCATGGCTGATTTGATAATCCTCAGCTCTACTTGCATGCCTTTCCCCCATAAACTTAACTTCCCTCCTGATTAAAAATCTGATCAACTAATCACTGTGTCCCAAATGTTCTCCACTCACATTTGACCGTCATTATTGCCAACAATAAGGTCTAGCAGTGCTTCCTTTCTCTTTGAGACTGGATTCATATTGTTGAAAACTTTCCTGAACATACTCTTGGAACTCTTGCCTGCACTGTCCTTTACACAATCTCTATTCCAGTAGAAAAGCAAAATATTGCAGATGCTGAAAACCTGAAACAAACACAGGGAATGCTGGAACAAAAACAAAGTTCCTGGAAAAGCTCAGCAGGTCTGGCAGCTTCTGTGAAGGAGAAAACAGAGTTAATGTTTCGGGTCCGGTGACCCGGAGAACTGATGGTGGCTGGGAAAACGTCAGTTTATATGCAGAAAATAGGGAGGTGGGTGGGGTAGGGAGTAAACCATAGGATAGAGCCCAAAGAGAGAGAAAGACAGTTGGACAGACAAAGGAGTTGCTAACGATCAGGCTTGGAGGGTGCAGAGTGTTGTTAATGGGGACTGTTAGTGACTAACAACAGGGGGTAGGTAATGGCAGGCTATGTGGTAACAAGGCCTGGTGTGTGGGGTAGGGGGCTGGGACATGGGAGAGTTTAGGCCCTAAAATTATTGAACTCAATATTGAGTCCAGAATGCTAGGGTAAGTCAGCTGTGGAAATGTATCTATATTTGGGGTACATGTAGTTTAGATCGTAATTGTATTGATTGCCACTTTCAGGTCACTCTTATCATAGCCAAACAAATCACAATCATCAAGGGCCTAACCTTTACCAACATGCCGCGCGGTGTACAATGTCCCCTATCCAGGACACAGGAGAACGGTGCGCAGGCGCAGTCTCTCTCTCTCGCGCTCTCTCTCTCTCACACATACACATACACACACAGAATATCTGAAGCATGCGCAGTGACAATTACGTCAACGGGTAAAGAAGTTTTTTTCCACATCTGCAGACGGTGAGGGGCCTCGGGAAGGATTCATAAACACTTATTAAATACTTAAAACTTCAATTAATAACATGCAATTGCCTTATTTGTGATCTCGGGGTCTTTACCCGGGAGCAGTTTCTGGTAAACGCCGCCATCTTGGATCCGCCGGCATTAGGGCGCATGCACGTGAACCTGGTGACGCGTGAGGTGGGTGGAGTCGTGGCTCTCCTGATTGTGGTTTAATTTTATTTTTTCTAAGTTTCTGTTTCTCCTCTGTCATTGTGTTTGGTTGTTCATACGAAGTATGCGGTGACTAGCAGCAGACTTATTACCTTCCATAAGGTCAGGGTGCTGAGTCTCGGAGACTGAGAAACACATTCTGGTTTAGTTGAAAGGGTTCCTCTTTCACTTTCCTTTTTGCGGACTTTGTTGCGAATTTTAGATTACTTTGGTTTGTTTGGATTATATATTGGGTCAACAAAAGAGCATGGAAGGAACCTCTTCAGGTCGCTATACAGAGGCTACGACCTCTCGCATTGAATGTATATTTATGTATATACTGTTCTCTGCAGGAAATATCCCCTCCCCAGGGTTTTCTTTCTTCCCACTGAGGTCACCCACTGGATGACAGGTTCACATCCCTGATGAACATGGGTGAACCAGTTTGTGAATTAGTGACTATCTGGAAGCTTTTATGGTCGCTAATCTCTAGTCCCAGCTTCACAATTTACCAGATCCATTCATCTTCATTTCACAAGCTGGTTTTTGTGTGTTATCTTACACTTTTTTTAAGCTCAATTCCACAGTGATTTGGAAATTGAGGATGTGCAGTCATGATACATACCAAATATGACACCAGATCTACAGAGTTGCGGAATATAATGAACCTGAATATCATTGTATTTTAAACATGGAAGGTGGATGCACATTTAACAACAAAGAGAAACTGTGCACAGATTCTGTGTGTGGATGAGGCTTCAAGCAAACATCTGACTTTCTGCCACACTTGACAAGAAACAGTGGCTATGTGGGGACTGTACAAAGTGTTTTGATTACCCATCCAAGCTATTAATACATTGGCACAGTCAAATCAGAGAGAAACCATTCACCTGCTCTGTGTGTGAGAAGGCATTCATGAAGACCTTCCACCTGCTGGCTCACTAGCGGGTTCATACTGGAAAGGGGCTGTTCCCCTGCTCTGAGTGTGGCAAGGAATTCATTCAGTCATCCCACCTGCTGACACACCAGTGACTTCAACTGGTGAGAGACCATTCAGCTGCTCTGAGTGTGGGAAGGATTTCTCCTGTTCATCCAATTGAAACATCAGCAGAGATAGTAGGAACTGCAGATGCTGGAGAATCCGAGACAACAAGGTGCAGGGCTGGATGAACACAGCAGGCCAAGCAGCATCATAGGAGCAGAGAGGCTAAACAGGTTCACTCTCAGGATAGACCCTTTGAATGTGCAGACTGTGGGAACTGCTATAAGAGTTCAAGTGGACTGATGTACCATCAACGTGTTCACACTGAAGATAGACCATCCAAGTGCTCTCAATATGGGGCTGTGTTCAGGACATCATCTACCTTCACTGTGCAACAGCAAATCCACACTGGGGAGAGGCCATTCATCTGCTTTGAGTGTGGGAAGAAATTCACTCAGTCATCCAGCTTGATGAAATGCCAGCGAGTTCACAAGTTACTACAGTCATTAAAGTTTTATTTGTTGTTTGTTCATGGGATCATGTCATCACTGGCTCGGCCAGCATTAATCATCCATTCCAATTGATGGTTAAGAGTCAACTACATTGTTATGGATCTGGATTCAAATGTAGGCTGAATAAACAAAGGTTCCCAGACTCTGGCATAAAGAGTTGATTTTCTGGTCTCTTATCCTGTTTCTGAAATGATAATAAATAAATTGTTACAGCTCATTTAAACATGGAAGAACAAAATGGGTTTTATTCTGATTGAGCACGTTCTCCTGTTTTCTCAACTGTTATTGACAATCTCATTCCCCTCGAACTGTTCCAGAGAATGTTCTGAAAAAGAGGGAATGGTCAGCTGCAGCTGGTCACTCAAGGGGTCACTGTACCCAAAGGGTTAACTCTGATTTCTCTCCATGGATGCTGCTAGGCCTGCTGAATCTTTCCAGCAGTTTCTGTTTTTGTTTCTGATTTTTCAGCATCTGCATTTTTTTTTATAGAGGTTTTTCAATATTCACCTTGTCTGTTTCAGAGAAGCCTCATTGATAAGATTGGTGAATTTTGGAAAGTGAATGTTAGGCCACCGATCAGACTTGATCTCATTGAATGGCAGAACAGGCTTGAGGGACTGAATGACTTACTCTTGTTCCTATAAAAGTTGTCTGTCTGCAGCTCGGGGCAATATTTTCCCTCATTTCTCACTTCACATTCATGTCTAACACACTCCATGTCGATACTGGCTGAATAAAATTCCTGTGTTTGAACTAAAGTTGTTAATATTCAATGCTCCCTCTCCAGTCGCATGGGTTTGACTCTCATCAGAGAATGTTGTCTTTTGTTACTGTGTGAACAGTCACAACAGACTGGATCCCGGACAATGAGACTCCAGGATCACAAAACCCGTTTATTTTTTCTCTTCCTGTTTCATTCCGACTCTAATTTCTCAGTTTCAGTCCGCTCTCCATTCAAACTCTTCAACAAACCCATTTGGACAGACAAGAGGTAGCTGGAAATCAATGCAGGGAACTGGGAAGTGGGCAGAAGCATGAGCAATATCAAAGAAAGCTCCCATTCTAATGACAGAACGTCTTTGCAACGCAGTGAGTGATGAGGGGCCTGAGAGTGTGGGGGTGGAAGATTCAATTGAGAATTTGTAAAGACATTAAGTGACCTGTCCATCTGATTGTTAACTCAGATAGACAGACAGAAAGAAAGAGCACATTTGACGATCTCAGGGCAATGAAAAGTGCTTCAAATTCAAGGATTTCAATCTCAAATCTCCAACGACCCAGGGGAAAAAAGTTTACCATTTATATCACTTTTCCGTCAGCTTCTCCGCCTAATGGCACAGTAGGTCCACCTACAGCACATGGACTGCAACGGCAGCTCAGCACCACCTCGTCCAGGGCAGTTAAAAATGGCAATAAATGCTGGTCTCAACAGCGATGCCAATGACTTGTAAGCAAATGAGAAAAGTTATGGTATTTAATGTCTGCTAATCAGCAAGAAAACTGGAATAGGATATTTCCTTACTTGACGGGGTGTAGTTATCTCTCACTCTCTTTCTCACCCCTCACTGAATTGCACTTTGTTACCTTCATGTTCTGTTCTGCCCACTGCTGGGGTCAGATCAACTCGATTTTTCCTTCTACTGAAGGAATGCCATGACTTATAAATTACTTGTACTTAGATCCATGACCTTCAAGGAATAGATCAAATACGGGTGTAAAAGGTTCTCCATTCTTTTTATTTACTTGTGTCCAACCTGTGGGATCTTACTAATGATCCCAATCCAAGTTTTAAACCCTCTATGATGAACCTCGCTGACTTTCTGACCATTTCCCGTTGGTTGAATTCTCTCCTGATTGTGCCAAGTCAGTTTCTCTCGGGAGAATACGTCACTGTCTTGATGATGTCAGAATGCTGTCCCACTCCCCCAACCCCTGGCCACATTAACCGTTTCATGTGCAGCTGTTTCTCAAGGAGCTGCATGTGTTTGGGACCAGCTCTTTAGTGCAGGTTCACCATGAATTTACACGTTATTTCTTTCACACATAACACTTCATATCTGCATATCCACTGTTATCCCAACACCATAGCACATATTAACTTTTAGGTGCATTTATCAAAAGGGATGTCTGTCTCAACATTTCCCTATATGCTCCTGATCTGTCGGGCACTGACAAAATGATCAAATATAGTTTACTAAAACAAAGTTTATTGGCAAACAATGCAACTCTTTAAAAGGAAAGATATCAATTATTCAAGTCATCTCAACTTTCCAGACTTTAACTAGAATATAGATGGATATTAGATTGGAAGGTTCTCCTGAACTACATCTAAAATGAGTTATTCCGTTCATTTCTCACCCCGAACAATATATTCATCATTTTTTTTTTAATTGGAGGGTCTTTGATGGATATAAACTTGCAGGGTTGTTGGGATAGAACAAAGACGGACACTTGTTCTAAACAGAGCCAATATAACCTCAGAGGGCTGAATGGCCTCCCTCTCTGCTCTGCCACAGTGAATCTATGATCGAAAGAGAAAAGGATCAGCTGATACATTCTATCCAACCAACTGGATTCCCGAATCCCTGATGACATTCTTCTAATTCCGTCTCAGATATCTCAAGGAAATTAATGTCATTCTGCAAAGGCCTGGCCCATATTTGGGCTCCTTTCTACAGGGATAGAACTGAAAAGGAGGAAAATTAAGTTTCACTTATTTCAAAGTAAATTTTGACTCCATTGAGAGCACTGTTAACATTTGTCATCTCAATTTAGAAAAAGGAAACAAAGGCACTGGAGAACGTGTCACATGAATTCACAAAAATATTATCAGAACTGACAGTATGTAACCCTCAAGAAAGGCTGAGGAGCTTTTCTGTAAAAAAAGAGAAGGCTGAAGGGTGACCTGATGGAAATCTTTAAAATGATGGAAATCTTCAAGAACCCAATAGGGATTTCATGAGAAAATGTCTTTACCCAGTGACAGGGGAGAACGTGGAACTCACTCCCACAGCGAGTGGTTGACGTGAACAGCACAAATACATTTAAGGAGAAGCTGGATAAGTACATGAGGCAGAAAGGAAAAGAAGGATGTGCTGATGGGGGAGATGAAGAGGGGAGGGTGGAGACTCATGTGGAGCACAAATACTAACAGAGACCAATTGAGTCGTTTGGCCTAGCCCTGGTCTAGACACTCAATGGAAAAAAGATGAACGTATTTATTTTTAATCTAATTGGAGTGGTAGAGAAAACATATTTACTATCCAAGATAAAATAAATGTACTTCTTCAACTTTTGGGGAATATTTCCATGGGAATGCGCAGCCCCAGGCTCAAGGAGCATTAAAGAGTGGCCAGTCCAGCAGTAAGAAACCCTCTGACCCTTCCACTTTACCCATTGGCAGCATGACTTTTGCTCAACCTTGGTTTGGATATTGCCTCATTTTTAAAATCAATG